AAATATATGTGGGAAATTGATGTCAGAAGAGTTACTTGTGTTTAGAGCTGTGTTTATATTGGGTTTAAAAAGGACATAATGAAAAAGTGTACTGAAGTGGCCTTTTATTTACTGGATTTTCAACTAATCACTGAAAAAAACATTTAGACTTTTCAGTGACACACTTAAAATAGAAAAATGTGACTACAATACATTTTTTTAGAAACAAATACAGTATTTAAATGAAATTTTAAATCGTCCAACATCTACAAAGTTACTTCATCCATTCTTGAAGAATTTTACATTAATAATATATTTCAGGAAAAATCTCTTAAAACCAATTTTTTGCAATAGAAAGTGAAAAAGATGTTTTACCCATTCTCCTCAGGAGGTGTTAATAATGACTGGAATTGTTGTTTTGGTTTAGTTTGATTTTTCCCAGCCAACACACATATAAATATTATAGTTTAGGTTTGCGAATTTCAATATACTAATTTTCTGTTGTTAGATAGAATTAGGAGTAAAAGCAAGGCAGGCCTAAAACTTAAAAGGGTATAAAAGAAAAACTTTATTAACAACAAAAGAAAAGGAAAAAAAGAACCAAATTCAGAATAAGATTTTCAGACCACTTCTTTTCCTCTCCCAACCTTCTTAACAACAACATACAAAAAACCCCAGACTTCAGTCAGTTCCCAACTTAAATAGTCTGTTTCAGTTCACTCCAGAGAGAGAAGTCTCCCCTTGTCAGGTCATAGGGACTTCTCCACAAGAAGAAGAAAGACAATTCTTTCCTGGCTTCACTTTCCATAAACTCCTCCCATCTTCACAGCTTTCCCAAGGCTGTGCTTATGGGCTATGTTAAACTCATAGGGTATTTAATTTTAAAAATTAACTGTTTCGAAACAAAAGTTTTCTTCATCTTTCTTTCTCTCTGTTCATGCTTCATCTCCAGAAACAGAGATCCTCTTTTCTTCTCGGGGTGAACAATTCCCAACACAGATGCTTTAGGTCAATGATCTATCAAATGGAACACTCTAACCCCCCCCCATGTCTTTCTCCCCCGTTTATAGGAATTTCTTATTGTAGTACAGTCCATCCCTATATCTTACAAAAGGATTTTCATCCTAAATTCAAAGCATCTTCTCATTCTCCTTCCATCTGGAACCTGACTCCTGCTTCACTGACCTTGGCGCCTTCTCTCTATTCTTTACTCTCTCACTCAGAGGAGGATTGAACGTTTGCAAGTCTTATCTGAGCATTGAAAGAGTTAAGATCTCACATGGAGGATGCAGAGGCTGCGGCCAGGCCATGCTGGAGCTGTGCTAGGATCTCAGGAGACTCAGCAGCAGCACCCACTGCCTATGACCACCCCTCCTCCCTGCTGGGACATGCCAGCTTTCCAAACAGGGGGCCTGGCCGCCTCTCCCCAGGCTGCGTGGGCGGCTGGGTGGGCTCAGCCACCCCTCGACTGCTCCGAGCTGACGGCAGGGCTCTGCTGAGCTGCGGCTCCGGGGGGAGAAGGGAGGGCCAAAATCTTAGCAATAGGCCTCTCCTCTTCCTGCCCATCAGGGCCCTCGGTTGCAAACGGGGCCCGGCAGCCTCCCGATCCCACCCCTGCCCGGCCTGGGCCGCATGGGGAGGGAAGAGGGGCCCAGCTCGACGTTACCTTGAGAAAAGCAGGAAAAGAAAGGGAGTTTTTTTTCTGGGTTGCCCCCTTCAAAATGTGTTTTCACGGAGCGAGCTAACGTCTCTAATTAGTTTCTCAGGCTGTCAATAACTCAACCAGCCTCCAATTGGTCTCATAAACTCACAGAGGAAGTTCTCATAGAGAAAAACCTCTGTGAGTCTGCCAGGTGTAACCAGCACAATTGTGTAGCACATGACAAGCAAGAAATACAGCTATAACTGGCGCAATCAGTGGAGGTAAATCTGTTGGGTTATTTGTTTTCTACTCCAACATATATCCACTGAGAAAGACTTGGGATTAGGTGTGTTCATTTTCCACCTCTGTCAGTATGAGTTGACTTTTCTTCCTGTGAAGAATAAAATAACAACCAAATTAGTTTGATATCTGTAACAAATGACTCTTTTTTTTATTGCTGCCAGTCTCTATGTGTCACCATAAATAGCTTTTTTCCTTTTTTTTTTTTTTTTTTTAAATAACATAGGTACAAGAACTATCTTGGTACAATCATAATGTAGAATCAGTTTACTTTTTTGCCTTTAAATTCAAACTACTGAATTCTTTACTGCTATTTTAAGACCACTAATTGATGGGGTATAAAGGGCTTGATCCAAAAGTGCTGAGGTGACTGAGGATAAGCATGATAGCAAGGAAAAGATAACATTGCTCTCAAATTTTAGGAAGGAAAAGCATGACTTAAGAAAATTGGGGACTGACAGTAGTAGGGAAAATGAAATCTCTCTTGGAAATTTGGTAAAGCACATACCAGGCTTCACCAGAAGGAATTTATCCAGCAGATTGAGTTATCATGTTGTCCACTGAGAGTGAAGTCACATGTTGAAAACTCCATCCAGTTTTGGAATCTCCATTTCACAAGATGTGGAGAAACTGTAGGTGTCCAAGGAAAGGCTGCCACAGTGGTCAGAGGCCTGGATAGAGCACGTGTCCTTTGAACAGTGCCTGAAGGAGCTGGGTTTATTTAGCCAGAAGGAAGACACCAATGGAAAATGTCATGCATGCAAATATTTGAAAGGTAGTTAAAAATTACATTTTCATACTCTTCTACTCTCTTCATAGCCCCAGGTAACAGCAACAAGGGTACATGGCCACAAAACTTTCGTGTGGGAAGTTCAGACTGGGTATCAGGAAAAATAATTCATGAGAAGGAAGTAGGGAACTGGAACTGTTTCCTGAAGAGGTTTGTAATCTCCACTGTTGTAGGGCTTTAAAATTAATCTAGACAAGGTTATACTGACCTGATTAGTGGACTCTGAGTCTACTGAATTACCTTCAGACATCTCATCTAGCCAGTTTTTCTTTATTCACAAGTGATTCACTGTTGTAGACGAACACCAGTTACATGGACTGAATCAATTTTTCAGGAAAACACCAAATATTACAGAACTAATGATAAACCCCAAAATCTGGCAATTATATAGGTAAGAAAGTTTAAATAAGACTTCATCTATCTTCAGGAATGAGTTTGAAGCAGTGGATTCAGTTTCTTATGTTTCAGCACTGCAGAGTGGTCCCTGTGCATACATATCTTCCTGCTGAGCATTGTTGCCTTATGGAGGCTGGTCCAAATTTTTCTATGAAATAAAGGCATGTGAAGTTTTAATGCTCCCTAGGAAAAGAACCATTCCCTTTTCTTCCACCCACTCATTTTCTGCACAAGAACCTATATTGTCTATACTGTACAAACCTTATGTTTCACCAGTATGAGAAGGCTAGTTTCTTCTTTTCTTTATAATAAGATGAGGCCTTGTTTGGGAGTTTGTAAAATTAAAATAAAAAATATTAAATATTTTCCTTGTTTTATGTACTGCTTCAGTGGCCTTCAAGCAACTACTGCAGAAAGAGTGAATGCTCTACTGATTTTATCTCATAATTTCATTATTACTCAACATATTAATAACATGCAATTTTAGCAGAAACCATGATAAGTGTGTTGGTTTGAAAGCAAAACCAGTGAGAGACTCCAAGTCAGTAATACAATTTAATAGGAAAAAAGAGAAAAAATAAAATACATGCAATAATACAAAAGAAAAACCACCAACAGAGTCAGAATACAACCTGACACCCCATCAGTCAGGGTGTTGGTAGCAGTCCGTATAAATGGTGGCTGCAGTCCTCCTGGATGACAGATGTGGTTCCGTTGAAGCAGTGCTCCTGTAGAAGGCTGCAGTTTTACTCCGAAGATCCAGCGATGATGTGGAAAAGGTCCGACTTCCGCCTGGGATCCAGTAGAAAGGTCTGCCTTCGCGTCCCAAACCCCAGTTTTTTATCTAGGTAGGAAAGGCTTGGCTCCTGCCCCTGGTTGGGGCATCTCCCAATGGGATGATGTAATCTTATCAGTCACACAATAGGACTTAATGGCCCATTANATCTTCTGGAGGAAGGATGGGTTGTGAAAAGATAACGATGATCATTCCCCTGATTTTATCAGATGGCACATCAGCAGAGGATATCTCCCACAGAGATAAGGATCACCACCCCTCCCACATTTTAACAGATGGTGATAGAATACACATTTTTGCATTACACCCCAGGACAATAAGCTAAGATTTCATTAAATGTTTCATAAAGTGACACTGAAATAACTGAAATTCAGTAAAGATTGATTAAAGAAACTTCTTTTTTTCCCCCTGAAGTGTATGCAACACAAAGGCCTCATCGTGTTTTATTGTATCCTTGACTTAGAATACATTTTAAACAGGTGTCACTTTTGGAAATGGTTTCATTTTTGTAACATCATTCATCTGATGAATGTGGAAGGAATATGACTTAAAGGACCACCACACAGCCATGATTTGTAGATGACTTTTGAATTGGTAAGAGAAGAATACAGGGAGGGGTATGAAAAATGTGGTCAGATTGGGAAAAATGAAATCCAATTAGTTTGATCCATATAGAATAATGCACGAAAGAACTTCTGTCATGTATCTAAAGTTATTGCATACAGCCATCAGTGTGAGTCCAGAAGGAGTTCCAAAATTCAAAAAAATAGTGACCACTTAACAATTTTCTCACCTAGACACAGTTAAAATCATCTTGAAACCATCCATGAGACCAGTCTTTGGCAGCTTTTCCCACTAACAGTTAAAAAACCCACTGGTATTAATCTACAGTGAACACAGAGTTGATATGACTTTGCTAGCCTGGGAAATAAGGAATCAGAAGTTGTCCAAACCAGGACAAAATTAGCCTAGAATAAACTTTTCAATGGATTCTTTTGAGAAGTGCTTTCCTCTAAAGAATCCCAGAATCATCTATGTTGGCAAAGCTGTTTGAGATCATGGAGTCCAACCTATGACCCACCACCGCCCTATCAATTGGACCATGACACTGAGTGCCATATCCAATCTTTTCTTAAACATGTCCAGGGACGGTGACTCCACCACCTCCCTGGGCAGCCTATTCCAATGCCCCATCACTCCTTCTGTGAAGAACTTCTCTGTAATATCCAGCCTAAAATTCCACTGGCATAGCTTAAGACTGTGTCCTCTTGTCCTGGTTGTTGGTGTGGACTAAAGAGAAGGTAACCAGCCAAAAGAAACAGTGACTCTTTGAAACAATAGCATGATATGAAAATAGGTTGTCTTTAACTCAAAAATGATTTGGAATAGAATGAAGAAAGAATCCATGAAATAAGGCCAGGAGACTTCTATACATCAGCAAACTTTTTTGTGTTACAACAATGGCTCAGTTACATCTTTTGTGTTTGATTTTGACAGCTAGAAGCCTGTTAGTTTGATAGCAGTTTCACAATTAAAGAATGTATTGACATTATCATATTAATCCAAACTGTTATTTGCTAACCTGGACAAAGTAAAAGCAGCAGATCTGTTCAACTCATAGGCAGGTATTTAAGCAAAACTGAAGGAGTAAGAGTTAAGGAAAATATACAGTGAAAATAAAATGAGAAAAGTATAAAAATAATAATACTGGATCTTGATACCAACCTTTACTTAAATTTTCCTTGTGAGTGTGGCAGAAAAAATGCTAGTATAGCTGTTTTATTACAGAGATTTAGGTATAATTGTTTATTCAGATGACTGACGTGTGTTCTATGTAACGAAATGGATGAGTTTTAGTTTGCCGAGTGACTTAATAGGAATTATATGAGATCCAGCCACACTAAGTGGAGAATTATGCACTAAGATACCAGTGGTGAAAGAATTTGTATACTTCTATAGAATAGAAGCATATAGAATTTCTATAAATTGATAAGTTATGTATACGTAGATACATATAAGAAGTAGAAACTGGGATGAATGTATCACTTATCTCAGGACAAATGCAAATCAGCAGCATAATACAGGTCTGAAAGAAGTAAATATGATGTTCACTTTGTAAACAAGAGAAATTTTAATGCTCTTGTAAAGGGTATTGGTGATGCATTATTTGGGATCCTGTGGACATTTCTAAGCCCATTGGTCCAAGAGATGAATTCTGTATATTGAAGCAGTAGGGAAAAAAAAGTATGAGTGGTGAGCAGGGATTTGAAAATCTTATTTCAGAAGCCTGATAATGTTTCACATTAGCTGTCATCTATTGTCTGTATCCAAATTGGCCTTGATCCAGCTGCTATATAATCACACTGGTGTCATCTTGCATGCAAAATAGTATACCCTAGTTTTTTAGTAACTTCAGTCTGTTATCAGAATTGAGTCTAATTAAGAACAGCTCGTTGAGTTCCAGCATCTCGGTTTTGTTCAGAGGGAGTGTGATTTGAGGGCAGAGACAAAGCACACTGAGCATCTTTCATAGTTATATTCATTTTGCCTGCATCTAATAGCACTAACAGCTGTGGGACAAACACTTAAACATCTAACCTGCTCAGAAACACTGAAAGTGGTGTGACCTCATACCACTAAGTTCTTTAAGATTTTCAATTTTTCATCTGTTGACAAAAAGTCCATTAATTTAATCAGTGTGATAAGTCGGTTTATATGAAAATATGTGAATGTAATGTTGTCAGTGTTTCCTTTTCATATCAAATTTTGGTGATGGATTTTATTCTCCAAAAGGGAACGTATCAACAGTTAGATATGAGATCTGCATCTAAGTGCTTGGAAGCAGCTCTCTCGGGAGGTTTTCTGATTCATATGAGGACTGCAAATCTTTTGAGTCTGGAAGGAGTTGAGCAACCGTGAAGCTGGAGCTAACCGCAGTTGGATGAAAATTGCTAAATTATGTTTTCTTTATTTTCAGCAAAATATCAAGTATTGCTCTTTTGCTTTTGCCTTTGCAAAGGTCAATTGGGTTTTAAAAGCATCAAATCAGCTTGTACAGGCAACTGATTGTTTGTTTAAATCTTCAGATATGTTGTTTTGCTGTTAAAATGGAGACATGAAAAGTTTTAGTGACAAAGATCCTCAATTTAAAAACTAGGAGCCACACTTAAATTTTTTTCTTTTTCCTTTGTATATCTTCTTAAAGAAGAGTGATCAGGAGATCTAGTTTGAGAGTGCTACCATTTTATTTTCTGTGTGTGGGTGCATATGACTGTGTGTAAATAAAGCACATAATCTCCTGGAGACTTGCTAATGTTTGATTGTGCTTCAAAAAATATGAAAGAGTAAAGCAAGGTGAAAATTGTGACTTATCCTTATATAGGTTCAAATACGCTGCATAACTGGTGATAGGTTCTGAAATTTTGGTATTTCTTATGCCCCAGAATCCACTGGGATTAAATTTTTCAGTTCCAGAAAAGATAAAATTGGCATTTAAATACACAGAGTGATTCCATTCTGAGTAAAGCAGAGCCAGCAGCTCTTGAAGAACTTTTTTCTCATTCCTGACTTCTGAAAGGTAACAGGAAAACAGTGATACTCAGCATGAAGATTTCTGCTTTTCTTTAAAGCTTTGTTGTTTCCACACTAGCTTGTCTGTCCCTCCTCCTTTATTAGCCAAGTAAGGTAATGTATGTGACAGAAATTTTTACTTCATAAAAGGAATATATATTTACAGATCTGTTTTCAATTCTGTAGGTTCATTTTCTTTAGTGAACAGAAAAGGGTTAGTCACACTCTCTACCACTGCGTACGTAATTTATCACACTGATGTCCAAAGGCTTTTTATGTGGTCAGTAAGGAGGGAAATGTGATTCCAGTGGGTACTTCACCAGAAATATATGCAATTCCTGCTTTCACTTAATAGAGCATTTCTGCATTTAGGCTCTGTGATTTCATCCCAAAGACAAAACAGTCATTAAGCATCTTTGCCCCCTTCTACCTGGAATTAAAAAAAATATTGTCTAGTCATTGCATACATTGAAAACAGAAAGCCTGAAATCACCTATCCCAATATTTTTTGGGATTATTTCAGAATCCTTTTTCATTTGCCTCAAAGAAATAGGTAATATAAAAAGGAGAAGCAAATTATTTCTACCCACATGTCAACAGGGTCTTTGTTTTGCAGATAAGCACACTTTAGAAGTCCTTCACAAAGCTCCAAGTGAAGCCATGGAGTAATGATGAAATTTTTGGAACACTTGAAGGTTTTTTTAAGAACCACTATATAAAGACATAGTCTAAACTCTAAGATAATCTAAAAAGTATTTTAACCAAGATCTAGTTGTGTGTGCTAAATTTTGTCTGAAATTATTATACCAATCCCTTGAAAACCAGTTTAACTGTTCTACTTTCCATGAGGATAAATGAAAACCAACTGAGAAAGTTTCTTTAGAGTAGGTTACATATAAAACTTTAGAAATATTTAAATTAATGAAAATTTTGATTGTTTTGCAGCACATATGTTTGTAGTGAAGCACATAACTATTTGATGTATTTAGAAAAATTCACAAAAATTTGAAAATAGGGAAAATAAAAACTTGGAAATGTAGTATTTTCACTAATATAATATAAATTTAGGTTGATATGTTGTAAAGAAATTTAAAGGAACACAGATAATCATTTGCTGTCTGTGCAAATCATCACAGTAGGATACAATGATATATGAAAAACAGACACTAAATTATTTTTATTTAAAATTTTTTTTGTAGTTCACCAGTAGGTTGTCCTGTCTGTCTGACCAGCCTGTCAATCTTCAGTGATGAGTATTATCATCCCATTATAGATGGCTAAAATGGGAAGATAAGTGGCTTTTTTGGAGCCAACACACTTGCAATATGAAGCAAACTTAATGGTTCCTACATTTCCGATTTTTTCTTAATTTATTAAACCACATTACCACCAATCTCTCAGTCTGTATTGCCTCAAGTACTTTATTTTTTGAATGGATTGTATTTTCTAATTGGAAATAGACTTTAGTTCTAATAGAGCACTAAATTCTTGTAACAGTAAAAAGTAAAAGGAGCTGTGGGATGAATTATTTTCAGGACAATCTAAATAAAGATCCTCTTCCTGAAAATGGCTCTTTTTAGATTGTTTTAGATTTAGAATATTTTTAGATTTTAGATTTAGATTTAGATTTCATTGACAAAGAGCATTAGCACACACTCTTTAGCCACTTTGCTAACATGGTTTAGCTTAATTTGTAAAAAGTATTTGTAATAGATAAAACTGGTGGAAAGAGACCATTGTTATCATCCTTGCCACAAATTTTACTTCTGGCAATGTAATTTTGTGTCTAATGTTACCTGTAGTTTTGCATGTAGTAATTCACTGTGCATTAACCTTAATCTAATGCAGTGAATGCAGCTGCAGGTAACTGAATGCATATGCTTTGAAGAACTCTGTATCTGAATTCAGAGGAAAGTTCTGTGTGGAACAGTTACCTAATATTTAGGGTGGAAGTTCATCTGAATGCCATAACTTGCATTTTTGCTGAGTGTTCAGAGAACAATTGTGCCTTGTGCCTAGCTTATCAATATTTACAGAAACATAAAGTTTTGTATATATAGTTAGAGATAATTACAGGTAAATACAAAATAATAATATATAAATATTTGAAAATATTTTTTATGTCTAAGTCATCCCAGACACCACCGTAAAAACTCCCACAAGATGTTGTAGCTTTGAAAGACTTCAAGGAGAAACATGGACTAATTGTGAGGTGTATGTGGAGAGAGAGGCTATGGTTTTACACAAAGAGGCCTTGGAAAAACTAGCTTGACTAAGTCATTATATTACATTACACTGAAGTGTTCTGAGGGACCCTGCATCAAGGACCACCATCCCAATATTGGTGGTGGACACATTGTGCCCAATATAAGAGCAGAAAAAACATAAGCATGCTCAGGTTCTTTCAATTCCTAGTGTCCTCACTGGAATGGGTTATTGAACATCACCCTACAAATTTCTGCATTCATTAAATTAAATGAATTATTGTAATTATTAAATACATTAAATGACACTGCCACACCACACTATGAGAATTCCATGCTTCCCTATGTCACTCAGTTTTCTATAGATTTATGTTTAATCTGTTTAACATAAAATTGTTTCAAAATCCACTTGCCTGGCACAGTTTCCCTGTCTCAGTTCAGAATTTCTTACAAATTCCCTCAGGAGATTACTTTTATGTCTCACTAGGCTTTTCATTACTTACTTATCAGCCCATTTCTTCTGCTAACTTTGGCGAGGAGCCAAAATGCTTCTGCAAACATCTGAACATGCACATTTTTGGAGGTGGAAGTCCAATTAGGTCAGTGTTCCCCATCAGGTCTGACCTGTAAGTACCTCCAGGCTTGTACAGCTCACCTCTCTGTATTGATCCTGCTCAGTAAGCAGAGCCAGTGCTGCCTGGGATGGAGGCAGGGAGGAATGAGGTTGGAGTTTTCTCCCAGCTCTGAGTGGTGAAGGGATAATGGCAGAACTGGTAGATGCCACGGGGAACAAAAAAGTGCAAAGGAAGACAAAGTCTAAGAAGAAAAAGTACTAAAGTAAAAAAAAACAAAACAAAACAAAACAAAACAAAACAAACAAACAAACAAACAAAAAAACAAACCAAAAAAAAAACCCAAAAAAACCCACCAAAACAAAACAAAACCACAAAAACAACAACAACAACAAAAACCACACAAACCAAAGCACAAAAAGTAAAGAAGCACTGGTCAGAGCCATGCATTCTCCTCTTGAGCCACACTGCAGCTCACAGCTGGTGGCTATCTGTGTTTGCTCTGCACTGGACTTGCCTTGCAGCCCAGACAGCTCTGTCAAACACTTTGGATGATTTTGCAATGAGAAAACACGATTCTGCATTGCCAGCAGTTATTGCCATAGAAAGGTACTGGAAAAGAATAGACAGTAATCTTCAGTCCTCACACAAAGCAGAACATCTCAGAAGGACATATATTCCATGCTGAACAATAGGAAAATAAAAGCTAAAATAAAAACAAACAAAATCAGAAACAAAAACAAAACAACAAAAAACAGCTGAGAAATTTATTGCTTTTAAAAACATGGGTAAGTCCATCCTTCAACAGTTCCTATAATTGTTTTCCTCTGAAGAAGTGCTCCACAGATAGCAGGAATGGATCACAGACCAGGTCATATCAAAATCGTTTTGTTAAGTGCTGCAAACATGTCTTAGATTTCTCGCATTAATCCATTGCAGAGAATTTCCAAGAAGGAGAAGGGAGCTTCTCATTTACCAAGTGCAAGGAGAACCAACTGTTTTGATACATATTTCATGACTTATCATTTGCTGACTATAGGTAAAGCTACTTTATGGCAAAGTTCGATGAATATACCAACATGTGGAAACCAAATGTTCCATATACTTAGTTTTGTAATATATATATATCCTTTGTCATTACATTGGTATGCATTGACTTAGAATGTATTGTTTTATTATTAGAATAAATAACTAAATACTAATAATTAAATACCATGTAAAACATAAAATAATATTTAATTATACTATATATACTTAGTTATGCTATATAGGCCATTACTCTCCCAAGTGTTATTCTTGTCTCAGAAATGCAGAGGGATCCCTGTTTAGAGCCATTGGAATTGCTTCAATGTTAATTTAATTTGCTTTCTATTTTCTGTAAATTTTCCTTCTTTTATATATTTTTTACACATTGTTTATGTTTCTGTCTAAGTCTGCTTAAAAAGTCCTAATGGAAAGTTTTGTGGCCATGATATTTTCTGTTAAAAAAAAAAACCCATTTGTAACACACAAATGCAAATTCTAGAAAGCTTTCTTAAAAAAAGCCTCAAGGCAAGGGCTTCTAGGAGAAGACTGACAGTGGGGGGTTTGAGTGCACTCCCCAGCAAGTTTGCTGGTGACATCAAGCTGTGTGTTGCAGTTGACACGCTGGAGGGAAGCAATGCCATCCAGAGGGACCTGAACAGTCTTGAGACGTGGGTCCGTGCAAACCCCATGGAGTTCAAGAAAGCAGAGTGCAAGGTCCTACACTTGGATGGTGGCAATCCCAAACACACCTACAGGCTGGGCAGAGAAGTGACTGAGAGCAGCCCTGGGGAGAAAGACTTGGTGGTGGTGGTGG